TTATGATTTTGATATAAGATGTCCCCCCAAAGTTGTGTGTGTTCAGAGGTGGGGATTCTAGCAGGTGGTTGTTATAAAAGAACAAGACCAGCTCATCCCCAGTGTCTCTCTGGCTTCTTATCACTGTGTGTGACCTCTCCCTCACGTGCCCTCCTGCCATGCCACCTGCCATGTGACACAACCAGGGGACCCTCAGCTGGGTCAGTGCAGACCCCCTACTTTTAAATCTCCAAAGCTGCAAACAGAAAAAGCCTTTTTTTCTATAAAGTCTCCAGCCTCAGGCATTTCGTTATGGTAATGGAAAATGAACTCATACAACAAGTTTACGTTTTCTAAATTTTTATCTAAATGGACTCATACACCACATGCTTCTTTCCCTGGCTTTTTGCATTGCACTTACTATCTTAAGACTTATCTATGCTGCTGCTTCTATCAAGAGCTCATCCCTTGTTATTGCTGAGTAGTATTTCATTATCGCAAGTTCTTTATCCATTTGATTGTTGTTTGGGTTGCTTCCAGTTTTTATCATAAGTGAAGCTGTTATTAACTACTTTTTTGACACGTGGTTCTAGTGTCCAGGGGTGGGATGGCCAGGTAGGATGGCAGAAGTGTGCTTCGCTTTCTGAGATAGCACACATCAGGGCACACTCCCATCGGCAGGGCGGGGGATGCCCAGCCCCTCCGCGTCCTCGCAACTCGCATTCTCCCTTTTGCACAGTAGCAGCTTCCCTGGATATCGAGTAGCTCTTTATGATTCCAGCGTACACTCTCCTCACACTTAAGGATGCAGGTCTCTTCCTATGTGCTTTCTTGCCATATCTCTAGCTTCTCAGCCGAAGGGCCTTCTCACATGTGCAGCCCATTGGTACAAACAAGTTGTTTGTTTTCCTGTCTTTGAGAACTGAGATTTCTTTACATACTCTGGATACAAACCCTTCCTCAGCTGTACGACTTGCCAAAATATTTTCTCCCAGCTTGAGGTGTGTCTTTTCAGTTTCTTAACAGATCACTATTTGAGCGATCAGGTATTTTAAAATAAACCTCAGGCCACACTGTTATGATTTTTGCTCAGACAGTTGATCATCTCTTGAGGCTGTCTGGGAGTAGAAAACTCGTCACATACTTATTCACATACCAATTGTTTCTGGGCTTATCATTCCTTTATCTGGAGTGATAATTCCACCTGATGTCATGTCCTTCCTCCTGGAGAAACTCCTTTGACATTTACGGGAATGTGGGTCAGCTGGCAAAGGGTTCATTCAGATTTTCTATATCTGAAAAAGTGTTTATTTCATCTACTTTCTTAGGTAGAGAATGCTAGACCATCTGCGTTTTCCTTTCAGTGATTTAAGAATGTTGCTGCCTTGTCTGATGAGAAACCTACTGTCTGTGCTTCTTTGTATATAACGTGTCTTTCTCTCCATCTGTTTGTAAGACATTTTCTTCATCTGTGATTTTCAGAAACTGAGTGTGGCATGGTTTTCTTCTTGTGTCTTATGCTTGGAGTTCATTTAGCTTCTCTGATTTGTGAGTTTATACTTTTTATCAAATTTGAAAATATTTTTTTCTTCAAATATTTTTCTTTTATTACAAATCCTTTCTTTTGAGGACTCCAAGTACATATATATTATACACTTATATAATACAGAACATCCTATACACATGTACATAAATAGTTACCCATATATCACTAATGAATGGCTCTTTTTTTTAATCTTTTCTTTAATTCTCTGTGCATTCCTTTTCTGATAGACATTCCTGTTACATCTTCAAGTTCACTGATCTTTTCTTCTGCAACATCTAATCTGCTGACTCCAAGTGTATTGCTCTGTCAGACACCGTCAATTTGCCCAGTGGCCGATGTGAGCATTTGTGAGAAGCAGCCCCTAAAACAGCAGCAGCCCAGCTTCTAGTCCTCACATCCTGGCGTAATACACTGTCCCCAATCTCCAGAATGTCTTACTTCTCTGAATAAAACAAGGCAAAATGATGGGACCACCTTCAAGATGAGGTAGCAGTAAGACTGGAATGTCCTGTTTCTTGCTTCCTGGATACCCTATCTCTTGGTTTGTTCTATAGGAAAGCTGCTAGCCAGGCACCAAGGGCGATTTCTGTCCGGCTCACTGTCAGAAGGGACCCGCAGCCAGCCAGCCGCCCCCTGAGCAGCCTGGAACGGCTTCTATACCCACTTCAGCCTGAGGAGACCCCAGCTTCTGAGGAGATCCTGAATCAGCTATGCCAGCTAAGCTCCGCCCAAGTTCCTGCCACAGAGACTCTGCCATGTTAAACATTAGAAGCCACTAAGGTCTAGGGTAATGTGTTACTCCGTGGCAGGTAAAAAATACAGTCTTTCGTATCTTTATTTATTTATTTATTTATTTTTTGCCCCTGTTTAACAAATCCAATCTTTCCTATAGTTTTTGTTTTTTTAACATATAAATCAGGCGTGGTGGTGCATACCTGTAATCCCAGCACCCTGGGAAGTTTGGGCAGAAGAATCACAAGAATCACAGCCTAGATTGGGCAATTTAGTGACTTAGCAAGACCCTGTCTTAAAATTTTTTTAAAAAACGCTGAGGATGTAGCTCAATGCAAATACAATGCAATGCCCTGGGTTCAATCCCCAGAAGCACGAAGACAACACCAAAAATACATGAGATCAACTGGACTCACTGTCTTAATATTGTTTTCTGCTGATTATACATCTGTTTCCACTCAGGATCTGTTTCAATTGATCAGCTCATTTTTCTCTTTTTGGGCCATCTTGCCAGCTGGCAATTTTGGGGTGGACCCCAGATGTTGTGAATTTTACATCATTAGATTTTTTTAATTCCTATACATGCTCTTGCATGTTCCTATGAGGGGTGGTAAATATGCTTGTTCATAGTTTTCAACTGCTTTGTGGCTTGGATTTAAAGTTTTTAGATAGAACAGAGCGATCTTTAATCCAGGACTAACCTGAGCACTAGTGAGACGAGATGCAGCCCGTGTTCTGTCCCCAACTTTGTGACCCATGAGTTTCTTCTGACTGACCTAGGAGAGCAGCATCATTTCCAGCATGTGCCCCAGGGGCCCTTCCTCCCACTATGGACCTCTCCACACACACGTGGATCAGCTCTCCGCTACACCCTCCAGGGGGACGCTCTGCAGAGAGCAGAGGGATGGAGGTCGGCACGATAATGTCCTTGAAGCCAGGTTGCATTTTGAGGATCTGCCTGTATCACAGGTGCGAGCCACCAGGTATGCACCTGCCTCGACTCACCTGTCCACTCTTCCCCAGGGCTGACCCCAGATGCTGCCTCCTCCCCTGCCTGTCTCTGACCTGCCAAATTAGACCCACATTCACTCCCTCTGGCTGTAGCCACTGTTCTTGCTCTTTTTGGGGGTGTGGATGACCCCACAGGCCCGGACAGCCTAAACCTGTGCAGCCCACAACAGCAGCCAGGGTCACATGGGGCCCCTGGAGCTCCCAAGTCGGGTGGAGTCCAAACTCAGCCACGTTGTGAACATCCAGTTCACACCAGAACGAAGACTGAAGGTGAAAATAAGAATAGAAAACACCACTTGAATACTTTCTAAATGTAGCTTATATATTAGGTTAATTAAAATATGTTATTAACATCAACATTTCCTGTTTCCTTTAACTTTTTTGTTGCAGCGACTAGAAAATGATAAATTACATGCCCAGGGAGAGGAAAGATTTGCAACACCTGTGGTTCCCGGTCTGAATTCCTGTCACTTAGCTTGGGTTCTGTCCACCCCACACCCTCTGCTGTCCCCCTGCCTCATGGTAATGATGCCAACAATGCCAAAGGGACCACGAAGAGCTCCCAAGGTGTCTGAGAGGACACGCTCTCAGCAGACCGTCAGGGTCAGTGGCCAGCAGTATATGTCCCTACCATTCCTGGGGTTCCCAGTAGCCGTGGTTGAGTCATAGGGACAAACATCCCTGTGCTGACAGTCTGGTTTACAGGTCACCTGTCGGTCACATCCTGGAGTAATCCAGTCTCAAGGACTGCCACGCATGCTCAAGTGACTTCTTGTGCCAGGAGAAGGGGGCGGGGATCTTTTACAACACATTTTAAAATGTAACTACGGAAATGAACCAGGCAAAAAGTCAGAGTTACCTGTATACTCTGCCCTCCGCTAATTATTTTCAATCTACTAGCTTGTTTACTTCACATCTTTCTTAGTTTTTGTTTGGTTTGGATTTTTTTGAGATAGGGTCTCTCTATGTAGTTTAGTCTGGCCTTGAACTCACTATGTAGCCCAGGCTGGTATCAAACTGGCAGCAATTCTCATGTTTCAGCCTCCCAAGTCCTGGAATTACAGGCTTGTGCCACCACACCTGGCACTATTTTTAGTCTTTTAAAAATATATTTACTTTTCTGAAATTATTGAATGCTTATGTCTTGAGAGAGAGAGAGAGAGAGAGGAAGAGAGAGAGAAAGAGGGAGAGACTACTTTACAAATCAAGGTTAGGCAGCTCTCACTTTGAGCCCCAATTCTAATCCCCTCTCCTGTCCCAGAGAAATCTGCATTATGCATCCCGGAAGTTCTTCACCCCTTTGAGAATATCAGTCCCCAACGCACACTATTGCTCCGATCACTGCTTGTCTTTTTTCCTTCTCTCTTCATTCTAAACAGCATGACTCCTGCGTGCTGTTCTTCAGCTTGCTCCTTGGAAGCAACAGGTCTTGCCTGCCTCAAGTTTGCACCCTGTCCCCTCTGCACCATGGCCGCTGGGCACAGGGGAGATGCCCAGAGAGCGGGCTTCCCGGGAGTCAGCAGGGCTGTGTCTACCAGCGTCTCATCGAGTCCAGTGTGAGGTAGCTTCCTTGGGTCTGGGAATTCACCGCATGAATATCCCTCCCCTGGCACATAGAAGCAGAGGTGGCGGGTGCTGCTGACCACTTCGCGTTAAACCTCCTAAGTGAAGACAACTCACAGGATGGATTCCCACATGAGCACCAGAAAGAATAAGGAAAATCTACCTGCACAGAGAGCTTGCTCAGTAAGTCCAGCAAGTGGATCAGGGTGGTGCACTGGGACGGACTCCGTGTTCTGTGGATGCTGTAGGTGGGAGCGCGTTTATCCAGGTGCATAAGAACCAGTGTTCCGGTCCTTCTTCCAGAAATCCTGGGTGCAGGGGAAGAAGGATGTTTGCTTTGCCCCATCCGAAGCACCGGACTGCTTTTTGTCGTGCCGCTGGGGATCAGTTAAGCATAGCTCTGAGGACAGGGCCAGGTACAGGCCAAGGAAAGAACTGGACGGCTTCGTGTTAAGGCCTCCAGCTCCACCTGCCAATAGGGCTGGTGTCCCAAAGGCCCCTCAGACCTCCTGCACACCTTTCGGGGTGTGAAAGTGGATCGGGGCAGCTGTTTGGCTCAGGCTCTGCTACCCCTGCAGAGAGCCAAGCCTCCTCTAGGGGGCGCTCTTGAGACGGGCCCGAAGGACCTCCGAAAGACAGCCCATCAGCCAGGTGGGGGAGGAGAGGCAGGGAAGGGAAGGCAGGAATCACAGCACTAAGGCTCAAACAGATCCCACATTTAGAGAGAGCTGGGGAGTGACCCCAGCTCCACCCCACATTACTGAAGAACTCAGTCTCTGGCCTCAGCTCCCTTCCCTGTGACTGGGCTGTGACCCCACCTGGGGTGTGGGAAGGAGCTTGGAGGCTGCCTCCTGGCTGTCACTGCTCAGCCTCCCCAAGATGTGGCAAGACTGTCCCTCTGGGAGCCACTGCTGTGCTGTCGTTAAAACCCCATGCCTGGGTCTGGGGTGGACTTTACCTCTAGATAACCTCACGCTTATCTTCTGCATCTCACCTTGAACACACAAAGAATGCCAGGGTCAGAGTCGCTGCAGTGGCTCGAGGGCGGCTGTTCACTCAGGGCCTCGCCTTACCCCTGAATCTCTGGGGGAGGAAGGACCCAGCAGTCGGTGCCTGATGAGACCGCAGGGGCCTGAGCACGCAGGCTTGAGAACCATCCTCCCAGGCAGCCCAGATGAACCCTGGGCCTACGCAGAGTGCAACGGGGCATGAATGTGGGTCAGGCAGGGCCATAGCCCTTACCCCGTGCTGCCGGGTGAGCCCCGACGCCCAACCCTTGAACCCAGGGCCAGTGCCCCAAAGAGCAGCAATGCTAGACCCCTACCTATCCCAGCGACGCCCGCCTCCGTTTCCGTGGGGACCCCTCCCCTCGTGGCTTTGGCTGGAGGGCTGCTCTTAGCATCCCAGCCCCCTGGTTTTCCAGTAGTGGACCCCGTCCCTCTCCAGGCACCCCCATCCTGCCCCAGCTCTGGTGTCACACATGTGGTCACTGGGCAGGCCACAGGCTTGGGTGTCTTCCTGACCTGGAGCCGAGCACGGTCCCTTGTGCGGGGCTCCGACCATGGTGGGGGTTCTTCCCTTCCCCAGGACTCCCCCCGGAGAGAGATGCCTGTTGAGGCTGCCAGGGTTCCCTGCGGAGTATCTGGGAAGGGCGCCTGCCCAGAGTGAGGACACAGAGACCACACGCGAGGACGACAGAAAGCAGAGTCACACATCAAGCTGCAGCTCCGCACCAGATGCGCAGTTCTCCCTTGCAACCAAAACAAACAAACAGCAAAGGCCTCTGGGCCTGAGCTGCCGAAGGAAAACTGCTACAACGCCACCATCTTCCAGGTTCCCTCCCCAGCCAGCCCGCCCCGGGGCTGTCCTTGGGGTCCCTCCTCCTGTCCGGGGGCAGTGGCTGGCTCAGGCACCTCCTCAGCTGCTCCTCCTTATCTCCCTTTTGCCACCCCCACCCTGGGCCTGGCTGGCCATATCCAAGGGCCGGATGCCACTATCTTATCTGGTCATAAAGGGAGGCCTTATCTCCAGCCGCTTTCCACGGCCAGTCACTGGTTTATGCTTTTACAAGGGCAGTTTGCTTCTCTTGGAGGCTGAGAGCTCTCCCAAGGTTCCTGGGGGTGAAGGGGACAGTGGATGGCTTCTCTGCACGGCCGTGGCTCTGCACCAACCCCACTCGGCAGCTTCCAGGCACCCGTGGGAACCTGAGTGGGTGGACACAAGGAGCAGAGGCCAGGAAGGGGCAGGGAGGAACCAGAATCCTTAGGGGCTTTTGCTAGGGGGGACACCAGGGGAGGGCTTCAAGAGGGAGGACCCTGGGGCCCTTGGTGGCTGCCTGTTAGATCTCCTGCCCAGGGTCAAAACACCTTGGTCTCACAGCCTGGGCTCTGAGATCCTACTAGAGTGTGTGGGCAAAGCCACCCAGGACCAAAAATTGGGAAGGCGGAGGCGGGTCCTTGCTCTGGGTCTCCGCTGAGCCTCAGCTTCCTCCTCTGCGAAATGGCTGTAAGACCCTCGTCGTCTTGATCTTGCCAAGTAGCCACGGAGAACCACAGGAGGGGGCAGCACTGACAGTCCTGTAGGCCAACCGGCACGGTCTGACCCATGTGGTGCTGCTCACAGAAGGTTCTAGAAGGCCCTCAGACACCCGATCCCTGCCTTTACGCTGTTCCTACTTGAACCCAGCAGCATCCTCAGGCTGAGCCCCTTTCTTGGGACAGGCTTCTGGCTCCTGCCCCGTGTCACCAAGGCTCCTGCTCCTCTGGGAACTGAGGAAGCCTCTGGGTCTTCGGCTCAGCGCCTTCCAGCAGCAGGAGGTCTCGGGGCAGAGTCCTGTCCCACCGCCGACTGCCCTGTGGCTGCAGCCAGGTCTCTTCAGCTCTCTGAGCCGCAGCGCTCTCTCCTTCAGTGTGGGAAAGCCCTTGAGATGCTGCTGTCAGTGTTTAGATTCAGTCACTCAGCAAGGACGCACTGGGCTTCTCCTCCTGGCCAGGCGTGTGGGCCAGAGACACAGCGGAGACTCAGGCAGTCACTGCCGTAAAGACGTGTGGCGGGAATAGCCAAACAAGAAGCTTCGGTAACAGACGGGGATGGGCGAGTCTGGGGTTGGGGGTGAGCCTCAGTTTCCCACCGAGTGGCCTGGAAAGGGCTTGGAAGGCAAGTGACATCTGAGGCATGACCAGAAGGCAATGAGGGGAGAGTGAGACGTGGGGGATCTGGCCACAGCCTGTGCAAAGGTCCTGGGCCAGGAGCCTGGTGTTCAGGGAATGGCAAGGATGTGGAGGGGGCTGAAGGTGAGCGACTGGTGCGGGAGGAGGTGGGGGGTGGCCACTGTATGCGCCCAGCTTTGTCACCAGCTGAGCCCTGAGGATTTTGAGCCCACAGGGTCTCCACTTGTTTTGGAAAGAAGTATGGGTCGGCATGTGGGGGCAGCAGGCTGAAGGGCAGGGCAGCACGAGGAGAGCGAGGGGACAGCTCTCAGGGCCTCCAGGCAGCGCAGGCAGTGCTGGGACTGAGGTGGGCGTGGGAGGGGCGGACGCTGGGGGTCTGAGGAGGCAGTGCAGGGCTCCCCGGAGGGCGGCTGGGACCGCGAGGGGAGCCCGGAAATCCTGAGCGGCACACTCCTCTGATTCACAGGCGCCTGGCTGCTGAAGGGTACTTAACCTAACTTTCAGGACAGGGAAACTGAGGCACAGAGAGGCCACAGAGCTGCGCCTAGAATCCAGAGCCCACGCTCTCCCCACGCGTGCACAGCGGTAGGAACACAAACCCACACACAGCTGCCCGAGCTCAGCAGGCGGCGCTGCTGAGCCACCAGGAGACCCCGCCACAGTCCGTGCCCATCCCCCACCCCAGGGGCAAGGAGTCCGGGCCACACCGCTCTGTGGGGAGCCTGCAGGCTGGGGCTCAGCGAACTGTCCCTGGATAGGTTCCGAGAGTAAATACTACCAGCTTTGCAGCTCCGCAGCCTGCGACCATCTCCTCGACTCCACGCCGCGGCAGGAAGAGCGGGGAGGGAATGGGGCCCTGCGCACCGGGGAGATGGCATGAGCGGATGCTGAGTGGGAGCTAAATCATTTTTAACTGGTGTGAAATAGCATTCTGACACTTTTCACCTGTGTAAAAGCATACCTACATCCTTTTTTATTTATTTATTTATTTTGAGATCGAACCCAGAACTACATCCGCAGCCCTTTTTAATTTTTTGAGATAGCTCTCTATAAGTCACTAAGTTGCCACCCTCCACAACCTGTCACAAACTTGCAACCCTCCTGCCTCAGCTTCCCACAGTGCTGGGATTTCTAGGCCACCGTGCCTGGCTGGCTCATAACAGCATTCTTACCTTGAAAGCTGTCCAAACATTGCTGGACTTGGCTGGAGGCTGTAGTTTGCCAATCCCAGGCACAGATCATGGCTCAGACCAGGATGTTCAGGTGTCACTTACAGGTATGGGTTGGCCAGGGCAGCCCGGGGTGCGGACCACCCCTCGGATGACCCCACCCAGCCTGGACAAATGCAAGTGCCAGGCCACCTTGGTGAGCCCCACGGCTTCCTTCCTGCAGTGTGGTATGCATGGTGGGTACAGGACTGGCCTCTGGCTTGGATATCACGGTCACTACGAGCTGCAGAAAGCCCCGAGGTCAGCATCCCTGTGCCCAGCACCTCCACGCCTGGAGAAGACCCCAGGGCTTAGTTTTCTTCTAAATCATCACTGAACACTTCCTCCACACCTGCCACCTTGAGGATTTCTCCTTTCAACCTGTTCCCACTCTGAGACCTGCACAGAAAGAGCAGTTCCCTTAATCAGGCCCATTCTGCGGAGGAGGAGACTCCAAGACATGAGGAGACAAAAGTTGAAAGAATATTTTTTTAAAAACACGCTCATCTAGCACTCTGGGAGGCTGAGGCAGGAGGATCACAACTCAGCACAGGCAAATTAGTGACATAGAGAGACACTGTCTCAAAAATAAAATGTAGGAAGGGTTGGAGATGCAGTTCAGCATGAAGGTCCCGTGTTCCTAGTACCCCACCCCACCCCCACAATTGTAAAATACATATAAGTGGAACTGTACCCCAGGGTGACTTCACCATGTGGGGTTACTTCATGTGAACTTTGCATGGAGGGTATAGAGCACTGAACTTTACCCCCACAAGATAATGCAACCTAATCAAATTTCCCCATAAGGCCAACATTGCAGCTGGCCAATTTGATTCCATCCTCATCCAATTCAGTTTGCGACCAGAATCACGGAAAGAATTAAGTTCGTGGACCGAAGTACCCCTGTACCCGTGTCTGTCCCCCAGGCCCTCAAAATGGGACCTCATGCAGGAGGAGCTTTACCCGAGTGAGCAGAACATGGACTTAACCCCAGCGAGCCGTGTCCTCTTAGAGATGAGAAAGGACAGGCACAGTGAGAGAAGGCGAGGTCCGAGTGACATAGCCACAGCCGGGGACACCAGCCCGTCCCCCTGCTGAAGGAGGCAGGAAGGGCCTCCCTTGGGCCTTCTGGGGGACAAGCCCTGAGGGCACCTTGAGTGAGGACCTCTGGCCTGCAGGCTGTGAGCAGTTCAGTGCTGCCCTTCTATGACATGGGCATGTGGTCATGGCTATGGCAGCCATGGGACAAGACACTCACACGGGGGCTGTGAGCGTCACACTTCCCATTCTTGAAGTGAAGTCCTGACCCGGCTCCAGGCAGAGGAGTCTATTTGGCTGATGAGGAAAACAGGCCTGCAGAAAGCCAGTACCTTGCAGGGCAACACCAGTGTCTGCCACTCAGGTGTTGCCTGGACAGGGTGGCACTGGTGAGGTAGAGGCCACCTGGGCATCAGGACCCCCAGCCTGGTGGGTCCCAGGTCCCCCCATACGCTGGGTGACCCAGGAAGGTTCCTTTAAGCCACTCCTCTAGCAGCCCCCTCCTCCTCCAAAAAGAGGGCCTGGCCTGGACAAGCAGGGGGCTGCAAGATGCCAGGGGCCACCCTGGCGATGCTGCTAACTCATAGAGGCTTTCTACGTGCACAGGGCCAAGTCCTTCACCTGTGGTGGCTCAGGTACCTGTCACAAGACCCCCAGGAGGGGGCGAGGTGGCGGCAGAGCCAGACTCAGAAGGGGCTCTGCAGCAAAGGCTGGGCAGGAGGAGGAGCAACCATTCGACATGAAATGGGCTTTTGTGTGAGAGCAGGGCCTGGCTTTCAGATGACTCCGGCCCTCCAGCTCTGGGGCGACTGGGTGTTCTCTCACCTTCCCAAGACACACCTAACAGCAGCAGCAAGTGCCCGCCCACCCGTATCCCCCCTCTGAGCCCTGGTGCAGCCCTGGGTGGACAGGGAGCTCACAGATGTGACATCGGGTGGCCGGCTCTGCCTCCCTCCAGCAGGCGGCGCCAAGACCCAGGGCTGCTGACCCAGGGCCGGCCACAGAGCCACCAGGCCACTGGGAGAGGAGCCAGCCCTACCTCTGGGCTCCTCTTGGGGCACAGAGGGGCTATGCGCAAGACTGGGGCAGGGTGGGGGCATCTGGGGAGGATTAGGACGAGTCAGGGTGCCCAGATCCCTGGGCCGCAGGCGGAGCACCTGCCTGACTCTCCCACTCCTGCTCCCCACCAGAGGGGCTCCCACCTCAGGGGAAGGCCCTGACAGTTGCCATATGAGCCCGGGACACTCAGTATGGTGCAGCCAGCAGGACTGCCCTTCCCTTCGTCCGTCTGTCTTCCTGCAACCTTGCCCTCTTCAAAAGACTTCTTTCCTGACAGTTCGATGGCCCGATGCAGACGGTGAATGTCCCTGCAGCCCCCGCCTCTGGCAGGAGACAGTGGCAAACAGCTGGGATGAATATCAGAAGCTCCCAGCCAGGGCCCTGGGGTCCTGGGGGTCTCATAGCTCTCCTGGACAGGAGCCGCATGGGCATGGGCCCTGACCCTGGCACACAGCACAGATAATTTTCTCCCTGCTCCCGCCTTTATACAAGGGGCACTGTGATCCCACCATTTGATGATAAGTAACTAGAAGTTTGGAGAAGCCCCTGCCCCCCAGGGACACAGTGAGGTGCCTTAGGAGTCCCTGTGAAGACACGCCCAGGTGCTCCGGCCCACGTGCTAGTGTGACAGAGCAGGTGGCCCGTGTCTGACCACAGCCTGGCCCTGTGAAACAATCGAACGAAGACGTGGCTCCCCCTCCACAGCTGGGTCACTCACCCCCAGGAGCCTTGGCCAGTGCTGGAAGGGGCTTCTGCCATTGTCACGATGCCCTCTGTCACTTCTACCCCTCACGGGAAGGACAGTGGAGACATTGTCCCTGCACAAATCAGGAGAGCAGACCCAAGCTCAGCAGAGTGTGACCCCCCACCTTGTGTACCACCCCAGCCCTGGACCGGATGGTATGGGGAGCATCAGCTTGAGGGGGGGTCAATTCTTCCTTCTGCCACCTGTGGACAGAGGTGTGGGCAGGAGGTGTGCCCTCAAGTGACATTTGGGTAGCAGATGGCAGCAAGGAGGGCTGGGGAGGCAGTGGGAGCCTCTCCCCAGGGCTCCTCCGCCAGGAGTGCCAGGGCACCATGCTGTCCCCCCAGGACCCTGCCTCTCGCTCCTGGGCAGCCCCCTCCCTTGGCCATCAGAGGCTAGGTGGCTGCTCCCTCCCTTGAGCTGAGGGCCGGAAGCAGCTCCTGCGTGCTGCTGGGGGCAACACGCTGAACTGGGATCCGTTTCCCCACCAGGCCCCCAGATGGTACCAGAGAGGGGAGTACCCCAGGAAGTCTGGACATGGCCATTCCGGACAGTACCAAAGGCTGCTGGGAGAGAAGGTCAGAAGCCAGCCAGGAGAGTGACAGCCAAGTTCTCTCTACTGTGTCCCCAGACTTGGGGAGAGTGACAGAGGAGCACAGAACTGAGCATGTGAGCCCCAGCAGGGAGGGCTGCGGCTGCCTCTCAGAAGTCCCCTGGGCCGCAGCAAGGGGGGGGGTGCTTCAGTGCACAGCCCATGGGGCACCTCCGTGAAGACTAATGAGGTGCTGGCCCTGGAACAGGGGCGGCCACAGGGTGAGGGGCAGTGGACATTTAGGCTTAGTAGACTGAATGCTCAGGGTGGAGATTTGTGGAAGGGACATTGAGGAGGCACTGCTTTTCTACTCCAGGAAGTGGGTGACCAGTGGGGTCTTCTGCTATGGGGTCTGTAAGGGGAAGGGGCTGGGCCCGAGGGTGCTGGCTCCATTTGGAACCTGCTAGAACCCCGATGGGACAGGCCAGTGCTGGCCAGCGGGCTCAGAACTAGGGAGTAGCTTGGCATCTGCCCTGCCAACTACCCTCCTGGCCCTGAGGACACTGCTGCAACCTCATCCTGACCTTCCTCTCTGCTGGGGACAGGAGCACTGGCCTCCGGCCCATGTACCAGTGGCCCAGCTGCATGCCATGTGGGCGGTGGCCTGCATGCTGGTTGCTCTCAGTGACCATCCTTAAATGTCTAACAGGGGAGAGCCTCTCTGTGGGGCCCGGGTGAAGCCTGTACCCGGCAGCCTCTGGCCAGCTCACGAGGCCAGGTGGGCTGTGACTCGCATTGTCTGGGTGAGACACTGCTGCCCACACAGACGGAGAGCTCAGTCCCACACACTGCGACCCAGGCATGACTCTGAGGGGGCTCACGGGTTTGCTAATTTGACTATGGGTGAGGTGATTGCCTCTTTCAATTGCAGGGCTCTGCTGGGTGGCCCCTCTGCCTGGGGGGCTCGAGGAACTACAGGAAGTGGGGGGAGGCTGCCAAGCATCTGGCTGCCAGCTGGGCCCTGCTCACCACCACCACGGCCCCAAGTCACACCTTTTCAAATGAGCCTTTTGGGTGAGATCCCAAATCCAGCGTCACCAGGCAAGCAAGGGGCCCCTAACTACCCAGGGTGCCCCAAGGTTTCTGGGACCCTTCTGCTCCCACCCTCAAAACCTCTGGCTTCCTGCTAGGAGGCCACAGACCAAACCTCCCTGTCCCTACTCTACACGTGTGGAAATCAAGGCTCAGAGCCATTCTGGACAGCACTCATCAGAACTGGCCAGAGACTAGACTTGAACCCAGACCTCCAGGCTTTACTCTAGGGCCCTTCCCAGTACTCCTCAGGGCCAGACCCAAGGCCCTGGGCAGGATTGACTTCTGGTCCCCATCTTCCTGCCTTGATCTGCCCTCCAGCTCCAGCTCCCTGCATTCTGGGATCCACCTGCCCCCCAGCTTGGCCCCTAATCAGTCTCACAGAGGTTCTCATGCATGCGCATGGGCCAGGGAGCACAGTGCAGTGGGGGACCTAGCCAGGAAGAAGCCCTCACCGGAGGGCCGGCCCCAAACCCACCTGGGGAGTCAGCATCTGCTCTGCTTAGGAATGGAGGGCAGGGAGCAGCCACCTCCAGGAGCCCAGGTGCTCTGTGAACACCTAGAGGGAGAGGGCGCCGTCGCCTCCCGAATCCTGGCTGGTCCCCAAGCAGGCACTGCCCCCTGGAGGCCAGCCTCGAGACCACAGTGGGGCTCCAGGGCCTGCTGGTATGTTTCCTGGAAGTGGGGTGGGGGTGTTCATCATGGGTCAGAGCCACCCACAAGACTCCCCAGATGGTCGCCAAAGCCTACTCCCTGCCAGGGGCTCTCAAAGGATTCCTTGGGTCTCATGGGCCCATCTCATGGGAAGATCTCCCCAGGGGTCACAGGACACCTACAGCATCATTCACCCACAGGCAGAGAGCAGCAGGGCCAGGCTGGGCTGTGGGCTGGAGCCTCTCGCACCTGCTCCCCCAGCCCCCAGGCCCTGCCCCCCACAGCTGCAGATGGAGCCTCTGGGGTGTACCCAGGACCCACAGTCATCGTGTCACCTCCAGGAGTGAGGTGTGGGTTGGTACTTTGGGCAGAAGATGTGATGAGGATCCAGAGACCCAGAGCAGGAAGATCAGTTGACAGGAAGAGGCCTTCAGAGCACCGGTGAAGGCGGTGGCAGAAAGCCACCCTCACTCCAGAAGAGGCAGCGAGGCTGTGAGCACCAGCTCAGCCCCAGCCTGGCTTCTGGAAGCTAGAGAGCAGCGCCCAGGTTGGGACTGTTGTGCCACTGCCCCAGGAGGCCCTGTCTGGGAACACACTGTCCCAGGCTGAGAGCGGTCTTGGCCCACCCATCCCTGGTGGCAGACAGCAGCCGGCAGCTGGGAGGGGCCGGGCAGCTCAGGGTGGGCTGCTTGGGTCAAAGGAAGCCCTCGGAGAGCAGGCCAGGGCCACCCAAGAGCCCAGCAGAGTCGCCTCTGTGGGGGCTACACTTACTACACTACTTCTCCTGCCTGAGCTGCACACCTGCCCGGGCAGGGGGTGTTCTGTGACACAGAGGATGACACGGAGGCCAGAGAGACCAGGCAGCTGTTTGGGCAGGGGGACTTGAATGCCAACCTGACTCAGGCCTTCAAGGCCGCCTCTCCCGCTGGGTGGGGACGGGTTTGGAACCTTCTGTTCCTCCTCGCCTTGGAGAGGTGTCTTCAGCCCGGCCGTGCCAGGCCGGGAAATCTCTCCAGAGCCTCCACACCCACCTGCGCCTGGTACTTTTATTCCTGAGAAAGTCTGATGCCAGGGAAATGTGGTCACACTCGAGGCCCTGTCCCCTTCCAGGTCGGGTCATGGATCCTTTATCTGAGGAGATCTTATCTGTGTGTCCTTGAAGCACTCTGGAGCTGGCTCCTCAAGGTACAGGGAGGCCCAGGTGGGCAATCAGGCTGCCAAAGGCCGGCCCACGGGAGGGGGGCCTCCTGCCAGGGACCCAGCCTCGCCCCTCCCCCAGGCCTGCTCCTCAACAGCACCTTGCCCTCTTGTTTATTTATTTTTTATTTTATGAAAAATTAAAATGTTCATAACCAAATAATAAGGGAATAGCAACAGTTACTACACTGTCTATCATTCATTTGCATTTCTCTGATGGCCAACGGTGATGCACAATTTTTCATGTTTTTTATTGGCCACCTGTACTTCTTCTGGGAAGTGTCTGCTCATCTCAGTTGTCCATGTTGTTGATTCTTTTATTTCAGGAGGGGGATCTCATTTTTTTTCCATTCTTTATATATATATAATATATATATATATGTGTGTGTGTGTGTTTTGCTTTTTTTTAATTTATTTTTTGAGACAGGGTCTCACTATTTAGGCTGGCCTTGAGCTCAATTTGTAGCCCAGGCTGGTCTTGAACTCACAATGATTCTCCTGCCTCAGCCTCGCAAGTGCTGGGATTACAGGTGTGCACTACCACACCCGACACATTCTATATATATTCTTGATGGTAGACCTTTATCTGTGGCTGGCAAATTTTTTTCCCATTCCGTAAGTTGTCTCTTCACTCTGTTGGTTGTTCCCTCTGCTGTGCAGAATCTTTAATTTGATATGATCTTGTTTGTTGAGTCTCAGAATTACTTCTTGTTCTTTTGGAGTTCTGTTCAGAAAGTCTTTGCCTGAACCCTCTTGTTTAAATGGGGGCAGCAGACAGTGAAAGCAGGGAGCTTGGAGGTCAGAAAGAGGACAGGAGCAGAATGGGAGGGGAGAGATTCCAGCCCTTGGTTACCCAAACTGATATTCTTTTTTTTTTTTTTGGTTTTTCTCTGGTACCGGGAATTGAACTCACGACCTTGTGCTTTCGAGGCAGGTGCTTTGCCGCTGAGCTAAACCCCCAGCCCTGGTTACCCAAACTGACAGAGCTTCCTGATAGCCAAAGCAAAGGGGAAAGAAGTTGGATGAAGGGGAAGTGGCCTGGGAGATGTGAATGGACATGATGTAAGGCATAACCTAGAAGCTGTCAGAATAATCCTCACAGCTGTCAGTCTTTCTCTTTGGGAAAGATAAAGGGGAACAAAGTCACATCAAGTGGCTGGGTGCATGTGCCACTGTTGCTCATTCATTTATTCATCCCCACTCACTGAGGCCTGTCATGTACCAGCCCTGTGCTGGGTGCTAGGGAGACGGCAGTCAGGGATTTCTCAGTCCCTGACCTTGGGGGCCGGTCTCTAGCCTTGGGGACCGCACTGTCAAGGAAAAAGATGACCGTAAATGTTGAAAAAAAAAATCAATATGCCCACTCCATGGAGAATATGAGGGCAAACAGGGCTGCAGCGGACAGGGAATGAGCCTGGGTCTGGAGGCCCACGTGAGGGAGAGGAGCTGAGTGGAGGGATGGGCCTGAGCCTGGCCTCTCTGTACCTGCAAGGTCAGGGGGTGAGGGCAGGGGATAAAGATCCAGCCGCAGAGCTCCAGGCCAGCTGGCTTCTCTGTGCCTCAGTTTCCTCATGATAAGGAAGCACCTCCCCACAGCCCCCACTCTGACCCCTTCCCACTTATCCATTGCCTCATTCTCCCTTGCCCATCCTCCTACTTTGCACCAGCTGCATGAACCTTGAAATACATTGAGCTCTTTCCTGCCTCAGGACCTTTGCACTTGCCATTCTGCTTGCCTGGAAAGCTTTTCCCTGGATCCAGTCTTGGGTTGAAAATCAGAGGTCTCTTCCAACTACCCCAAGTGGCACTACTCTGCCTGCCTCCCTAACACCCACCTCCCATCCTTTTGCTCTTCAAGATGATTCTGTTACTTGAGTGTTAGTTGGTCTGTTTGCCTAGCTCCTGTCTGAATTACCTCTTCCGTCACAGTGAGATTGTTCTCTGCACCCTGCCCAGCACAAGGTAGGATTCGAGATACTTCATGGAACAAATACACAAATCCCTCATTGGCACATTTTTAAACTTAATACATGGCAGCCTGATTCCAGTCTCCTAAGCGGTCACCATACACACAGCCTGCAGTCCCCACTCACGGGTGCCAGCTCCCGGTGCCCTGAGTTCTGACTGGCTGGGTAATGCTGGACACAAGCTGCTTCCCTGATTCAGCCTGGAGTCATCTTGAGCTCTCTACCTGACCCCAGAGCTGCAGAAGGTGCCTGGCTGTGGAGCCCCGCTGCTCAGGGTCACTTTCCGGAAATCAAGCCACCTCTGGGGGGCAGCATGGTGTCATGGGAGAAAGCCAGACTTGGCTCCAGGTGGCCTGGACTTGGACAAGCCGAGTGACACTGGCCAAGCCCTGTCCACCCCCGAACCTCTGCACGGGGTGGTGGGCAGCAAGGGGGACTCTGTAGTGCCACCATTTCAAGCAGACTGGACACATCCTCGCTCTTGGCCTCCGTCCAACTCGGACGCTGAAGTTAGACGCTTACAAAGCTATGGGAAAATAAAGGTTTAAAAATAGGAGGAAATATGTCCAAAAAGAACGCTTTATTATTTCCTGCTGGGTCGCTCTTGGCAGGCTGGGGGAGGGGGCGGGGATGTGGGGGGGCCCTTGGAGAGCTTTCCAGGGGGCTTCTGCCCCAAGTTCAGGTCTCTGGCGCTTCAGCCAGCCCCTGTTTATCCATCCTTGGGGTCTATGTGATGGGGCTGGGGTCCTGCCCAGAGGCATGGGGCGGGGGGGGGGGGCAGTCCTAAGGGACCTCTTCATATGGAAGACTTGAAATCACTTCCTCGAATAGAACCTGTGTCGTTTCCTACTGCTGCTGTGATAGTTGGCTTGCAACAGCTGGAGGGCAGAAGGGTCACCCCTCTAGTCTCACCTGTGGCCAGGGTTGCGTCCTGCCCTTTCCAGCTTCCAGAGCAGTGTTCCCTGGCTCAGGCAGGGCCGCTTCTGAACTTCAAAGTCAGCAGCACGGCATCCTCAAATCAGTCTCTCTCTCTCTCTGACACCCTCCTGCCCTCCTCTGACAGACACCCTAAAGGCTGCATTTAGGGTCTATCCAGGGCTCCTAGGATCATCTCCCACTTCCAGGTCCTCCACTTGGTCGCATCTGAAGAGTCCCTAAGTTCACAGACTCACGGTCAGAGGCACCTTTGGGGGTCATTACAGGGTCTACACAGACAAGGACACAGGCAGCTCTAGGGACCTGCTTGACACCAAGCACAGCTGCCCGCCTGCCCGGGCTTCACCCTGCCCATTGTCTGACCCGGCACCACCTTGGAGAGTCAAGTCTTTGTAATTTGGTTGCCTGAGGGGAAACAGAGGCACAGCAAGGTCAAGGAACACAGACTCTAGGGGGAGAGTGAGGATTCACCGCAAGCCCAACTCCTTCCTGGGTGCCTACAACACAGGCCCACCCCAGGAAGTCTCCAGAAAGTCTTCTGCACAGGTCCAGACCCCCTGCCTCTGGATCTCAGCACCAGTGTAGGTAGCAGGAGGCTTGGAGGGGCAAGGCTGTGGGGTTTCCGTGGGGTGGCCAAGCGGGCATGTCCAGCAGCAGAGGGAACGGGATGGCCCTGGGGGAGGGGCTGGCTGCAATACAGGAGCACAGTTACCTGGGAAAGGTAAGCACCAAGTCTCCTCAGGCACCCAACCAGGCTGCTCATGTGCTATCCCATCTGTGTCACCTCTGCAGCCCCAGGCCCTTCCTCCAGGAGCAGGAGGGAGGGGAAGAGGATCCAGCTGGAAGGAATGCAATCTGCCTAGCTCCTGCCCTCCACGCAGCGCAGGAGACTCTGCCTCATCCTGCTGACTTCCAGCCTTTGCTGTCAGCCTACTTGGCCTTCCTCGGGGAGGAGCCCCTCGCTTCCCTGTCACATGCTTCAAGTACAACACTTGCCAATACTCAACATCCTTCTGTGAGCACCACTGCAGGCAAGGTCCATCCATAGGATCCTCACAAAACATGGCATGCACGAGGTGTGCA